CAGCTGTGTGACTTGGTCAAATAAAACTAGAAGGTGGGCTACCTTCCAAAGCTAGGGGACAATGGCAGCCACCTGGAGTAGATATTTAGGGTGTTAAGGTACCAGTGTATTAGGTCTATGAATTCTCAGAGGCCTGGTGTTGGTGAGACATCTCAAATATTTGATGTTGTACAGTGAGTGGCATAGGTCCTTCTGTGGGGTACATTCAAAAGATGCCGGCAACCTTTGATCTAAGTCTTTTTGTTTCCATTCCTGCTAGCAGATTTGTATATTGCTTTAAGTAGTGCGCCCAGCATTACATAGTAACCTTTCTAGGGTGTGGTGCTGATGAGGAGATTCTATTCCTTCCCATATTTAAGTCACTGTTGGTGGTTCCTCTCCATGGCCACTTGTGTGTGACACTGGACTGGAATAAGCATCCAGGTAACCCTTGTCCCTTCTGCCAGTGGGCACACAAGGGCTTCTTAGGGTACTGCTCTGGATTCCGAGGGTGGAGTCTTTTGTCTCAGAGTAGTTGAGCAGACCTGGCAGGCAGGCCCTGTGCCAGCCAGTGACAGCAACTCTCCTCGGCTACATCTGCCCTTCCCACTGCACTTCTGGCCCTTCCCAGGGAATAAGTCTGAGTCTCTTACATGTGCTTTCCATGTCAGCAATGTCTGACAGCCCTTGTTCTTCCTTCCAAAGGTAGAAAGGACCGTCATGTTGGGCAGCCAGGGTGTCTCCGGAAGCTACTCACAAGCATCTTATTTTAGCACAGCAGTTACTGGTGACTGACTGAAAGACCGACTCAGAGTACCTCTTTGTTTTACTTCGATGTAGCCATGTGACTGGATCTTTTTTTTTACACGCGGGGGGGGGGGGGGTGAAGGCAGAGGAAGGGAGAGAGGAGGAGAGAGAGCAAAACATTGCCTCTGCTGCCCTCTAGTGGCTACGTCACAACCTCCACACTACCGCCTAGCGAGATGCTTGCAGAACCCGTGGTAATAAGTATAGATCTGTTCTGCCTGCATGTCTTGGTTAAGTTTCCAAATCCCCATTTACAAGATTGAATATCTTTCCTTGTCTCTCTCAGAGAACTCTAGATGTCCAAGGAACTCAACTCAGAAACGTGATCCAAGAGCCAGTTCAGGTCTGCAGTCTACCTGGAGGGCAGATGACACTCCAGACATGATCATACTGACGGCCCAGGAGGAGTTCGACACAGGACCGTCTGAAAGACCATGCCAAATAAAGTTAAAATAAGCAGATTATAACGGCTCCTTATTTTTATGAGATTATGGACAGATTATTTATATGACAAATAGCATCTCAACCTTCATTTGAATACCCCTGACTTAATTGGGAAACAAGACAGGTTGCATTTATTTTATTATTATTTATTAAATTATTATTATGTGTTTATATATAGTGCAGGTTGAAATATAGGGAGATATATATATATATATATATATATATATATATATATGCCTGTGTGTGTGGTTATGGAGGACAGAGGATAGCCTCAATGTTATTCTTCATGTGTTGACCACTTTTGGCTTTGTTTTTGTTTGTTTGTTTTGTTTTTGAGACAAGGTCTCTCAAGGGCTTAGAACTGACCAAATAGAACAGATCTTCCTGTCTCTGCCCACTCTCTCTGCTACTGGGATTCCAAGTGCAAGCTAAAACATGATTCTCAGACTTGAGCTAAACTCTTTATGCTTGCACAGTAAATACTTTACCAAGTTAGCTATCTCCCCTTCACCCCTTCAGCCTGGAGATAAGTTTAAGTGGTGCAGAGATCCGCTTTTCATGATGCTGTTCTTCTCTACAGCCAAGCACTGCCAGGGATCAGCCTTCCATAGAACTCACTGGTCTCCCAGTCCATCGTGAATAAGCTAGGCTTGCTACAAATAAGGGAGTATGTTTAATGAATCCCTATTTGCCCAACCCCATTCCTGTACTCTGAAAGTCTGTCACTCTCCTCGTTCTTCCTCCTGTTCCTCGGAATCCAGTATGAACATGTTCCCTCCTATCTCTCATGGCACCCAATGTGAACATGTTCCATCCTAATTGTCATGGCATCCAGTGTAAATTTGTACCCTCCTATCTTTTGTGGCACCCAGTGTGAACATGTTTCCTCCTATCTGTCTATCTGCCATGGCACCCAGTGTGAATGCGCCTGTCCTATCTGCAGATCACCTTGGAACCTTAACCCTTTCCCAGTTTGCTGCCATTAGTCACACTCCATTTGCAGCTTTGGCTTTGAAGGAAACGTTTCTTCAGTCAAATCTTGCTTTCTACCGTTTGAGATCTACCCCTGGGCATCAAGGGTGCTTAGCCTGCCTCCCCCACCCCTGTTCTCCCTTCTTTACACTTAGAGAATGCCACTGGCCCTCCCTTTCCCTTCCCCCTCCCTCCCCCATACCCTGGATCACTGCTGGCTCTGGCCCTGCTCCAGAGGGAGGGGGAGCTCGGGAGTCTAGGCAGTGGGCGTGGTTGTCACAGTTCACTCTAAGAATGAGGATCTGTAAGGAAGGGCAAACTCACTTCATCCTCTGAGAGGGTCTACTTTTATCGATTTTTCCAATCAAGCTTCTAATACAGTTCTGTTTTTTTTTTTTTTTAAAATGTGACTTTTCTTTAAACTTCTAAAGAAAACTTTAAAACCTGGACATGATGATCTATTGTCTTTTCAAAGCTCTCAAACACTGCAGAATTCCCCTCCCACTTCTACTTGGGTGGGAAAGCAGGCATAAGTGACACTTTACAGGCAGCATTTTGCCCTTGGCTCCGGCTAGCCTCTCTTTAATGGGTCTTGGGCAGCTGTCCCAGGCTAGAAAAGTAACATTAAAGCTGAGAACAAAACCGAGGGCTTGGATTTCTTTTTAAATTAGGAGAGGTGGTGCCGTTTGGAGCTCTCTGGTTCCTGGAAGCTGTTGACATGCTTCTAAAGATGTTGTAAATCACTGTGCTCTTACACGCATCTTGGTTTAAGGGTTTCCTGAGCAGCTTTGGTTGAGTTAGAGGGTTTTCTAAGTCAGCAGTTCTCAACTGTGGGTCGAGACCCCTTTGGGGATTGAATGAGCCTTTCACAGGGTCACATATCAGAATGCCTGCATCAGCTAGTTACATTACTATTCATAACAGTAGCAAAATTACAGCTATGAGATAGCAACAAAATAATTCTATGGTTGGGAGTCACCACAACTGTTTGAAGTTATGCTATGGAATTTTGTATCTTCTGGCATTAGGCTGAGGCGAGGAAAAGGGAGCTCCACGGAGCTCACACCCGTTGGCAGAGTCGTGGTGATACCTGACAATCAGAGGTCTTCATAAGTCGGGCACCACAGGTTAATGGAAATATCCATCCTGGTCGGCTGCTAAAGGGATTGACTTTTAAGGACCTCAGGCACAAAACAGCACCAACAGGAAGAAACTAATCCCACCCAGACATCCCATCCATCAGACAAATGCCTACAGCACTACAAGCCACGCTACCACCAGGAGAAATAGAGGTAAACAGCCTAGCCCAGATTTGGACCAAGTCTCCCAAAAGCTCTTGACTCTTCCCCCTCCCCGCAGTAGCATCATAACCCCTCTGACACATTATATTTGCAAGACCAGTGTCACGCCCAAATGCCCTGAAGCCTACAGCGATCAGGGCTCTTATCAGTGCCATGAGGTGAGTGTGAGAGACAACTGCAATGTTAAGAGTTTATCATCGCAGAATAGGTTTTCAAAAGGAAGACAGCAGGGGAAGCTATCCAAACCACATCTTGGTTCTAATGTGAAATGGAGAACGTTGGGCTATCATGGGTTCATGAACCAAACCTATGGTTTCCACTACTTTTCTCATTGCTACAGCAAAGTTCTCTACAAAAGCAACTCACAGAAGGAAAGGACTACTTTGGCTCACAGTTGACAGGTACAGCCCATCACGGCGTGTCGCTGGGGAAGGTGGCAGAAGGGTAAAGCTGTTGGCCACATAGCATTCACAGGCAGGAAGCACAGAGATGGAGGCCGGAGCTCAGTCTGCCTTCTTCTTAATCTACATGGAAAGGCACCTCCCAGAATCGGTTTCCTACCTCCACATGGGAATTGTGGCTGGATATGTGTGCATGCACACACACACACACACACACACACACTCACAGGAAAAGAGAATATGCTTTAAAACATTGTTTGAAAAAATCATGAATAGTCAGTTTTTCTTCGAAGGGGCCCAAGCAAAGCAGCAAAACAGGACGATCTGTGAACAGCTTGGTAAATAGTCACCTAAGCAGGCAATTGAGCAAACCAACATTCTTGCATTCAACCAGAAAAACAAAATCAACAACAGGAATGAGAAGTAAGTATTTGATTTTTTTGTTTTTTTGAGACAGAGTTTCTCTGTGTAGCTCTAGCTGTCCTGGAACTTACTATGTAGACTGTGCTGGCCTCGAAATCACAGAGATCCACCTGCCTCTGCCTCCCAAGTGCTAGGATTAAAGGCGTGCGCCACCAGCAGCAGCAGCCTGAAATAGATTATTTGAATGACTCCTGTAGTAATCTCTTGTACCCGTGAGTCACCCAAAGGAGGTTTTTTTGTTTGGTTTGGTTTGGTTTTTTGTGGGAAAATGAACTGAAATATATATGTGTAATTATTGTACCCAACTGCAAAAGACAAAACAACAAAAACTTTCAATAAAGAAGATGCTAAGTATAGAAACTGGGGTTTTTGAGCTGAAAGCTATCTCAATGGTGCCAGAATATTCTCTCCCCATGACACTCCTGTGAGTAGTTGGTCTAGAAATGTGTTTGCCAGCATTCTTGTTTGCTTCAGAGTTAGGAAGCATATGTGTTTCCCTCTGAGAATAAAGTCCATAAATATTTTATGTAAGTAAAGGAAATGAATTGGATTCATCCCTAGATCATTTGTCATTCACAGCAAAGACAAGAAATCCACTCTGTCCACATTAGCCAGCAGCCTTTGCCGGAAGCCCAATGTGAAATGACACCGATTTCATTTTTTTGCTACTCACCCTCTAGCTAGTGTTGCTATGCCAACGTCGGTTAACTTCATTCCTACACCTGTGGAAAGAGAGAGCAAAGACAGAAGTTTGAGTTGCTAGGTGAGGCACAGAGAGGATTGGTCAGATAGGGGAGGGGAAGCTTATTGTCTTTCTGGGTCCATGTGGACTTTCCTCCCGGAGAGCCTCAGGAGACTCACAGTCACACCTGTGTCTGCAGAAGGGGTTAATGATGGGGGAAGGCAGACCTGTGACTCAGGCAGCAGTACCCAAGTCAGGCCTCCTTCAGGTTTGTTCTAGACTGAATATGAGACTTGGCACTTTTCCCATGAGCTTTCTCCCAAGAAATGCTATCTCCTGGACTTAGGTTTGGTCCCCTGCTCCTCACTGAAGCCCTCAAATAGAAGGAAGCATGGTCAAGGACTGGCTTGGTCAACAGCAGCAGTAAGAACGTTCAAGGCAATGTGTTCAAAGAAAAACTCCACCTACGCAATTTCTCACTTCCACAAAGAATTTCCAGATTCTAGGGAACATTCACAAGTTTGTGAGAAGACTTTCAGTCATTTGGCCCGGGAACAATAGCATTTAGAATCCACGGCCTGGCCGTTTAAGACTTTTAAGATCATGGAACCACAGTAGCGTTGGGAAGAACCAAACTCAAAACAGTAAAACAGCTACTGAGCTTCCCACGCTGGCTCAGCAAAAAGCCACAGATGTCCTTGTTAAAATCCCAAGCACACAGGATGCTCTCTGCTACTGTCCGCCCAGGAAAGGCAGCTGGGAAGTAGTTAGGGGTCCAGAGGTGTAAGGAAAATAGACCGCCTGCTATCTTCCAGCAAGAGGAAGATGAGCATCCTACTACAACAAAGGACTGCCCACTCTCCCTCTGACCCAGCCTCAGCCGTTATCCTTAACTACTCCCATGCTAGCAGATGGGAAGAGCACCGGTTCTCATACCCAGAGTATGGAGGTCCCCCGGGCCTTTGTAGCATCTTCTTGCTCTATCCATGTATTCTTTCTGCTTCTGACTTTCTACGATGGCACCTCTAGGCACTTCCCCTACCTCAGTGCACCCCACCTGTGCAATCCAGTGGTGACCCGTTAGTCACCTATGACATACCTCTGACTCTGGGATCTATAAGAGCCAGGCTGTAAGCAGTGGTATCTCTGCCAATGAGCAGGTAACTTGGGCATAGAGCAGCTAGGTAGGTGACAGTAGAGGTATAGAAGGATCCAGGTCTCTCTAAAGCCAACACTGGGATAGGGTTTGATGATAACTTGGTTCCATGGCTCTTTATCCCAGAGACCCAGGGAAGTCAAGCTGAAGCCAGAACACTCTGGTTCAGCAGTGTCCACCCAGAGCATGGCAAAAATGCCACATTGTTGCTATTGGGACTGGTGAGTCACCCGGAAGCAATGAGCCCAGCTTTTGTACCATGCACTTGTGAGCTAAGCATGGTACTTTGAAGAGCCCAGTGAACGTTTTAAAAGCCGAGTCACTAATTTCATCCAAAGCTACCAACAACTCGAACATGCAAAGGCCTGCTGCATGTTCACTTTATTGTAGGAAGTACAATAATTAAAAAAAAAAAGATGTCAAAAAATGGGGCAAAGGCCCCATTGGACATCTTTTTTTCCACAGCTCTAAGTTCCAGTAAGGTCTGTTTTTTAGAAGTCGTGTGGCAACAGGTGCTTGAACTGCTACAGTGCCATCCGTTGCTCACAGTCGACAGCTACTATTTTGGTTTAGAAAAGTAGAATGCCAAGGTCAGCGGCAAGCATAGGGATGTTTATATCATGCAAGCATGAAGAAGGACTGCAGTGTGTGTGTGTGTGTGTGTGTGTGTGTGTGTGTGTGTGTGTGTGTGTGTGTGTGTGTGGTCTCAGAGCACTCTGGGGAAATGGGAGGCAGATATGATATGGGGGATTTCTCAGAGAATTAAGCTCATTTTGGTTTAATTATTTGTCAGCAAGTCAACAAAGGTTTTCCAACAGTCACTGGAGGACGGTCCTCTCAATCTGTCAAAGTGATGTGAGGCTAATAGTGGCCTATGGGTTGGTTCTGATGGGAGAAGAGCAGAGGTCTCTTCACAGAATCTCAGTTTGTGGATGGCTCCTGAGAAAGCCTAGTGGTCTCAACAGGTCTCGGGTCTCACTTCCAAGTCACAGACCCACCTCTGACGCCACACACCTGAAGTCTCGACAAACTTCTCTCAACAAACAAACGCACTCAAGAGAAGGGGACAATCGCATCTGGTTTTATTTCTCTTATTGCTAATTCCAGTGTAGAGGCGTTGCTGAAAGAGTGTGAGCCCGTGCCACAACGAGGATGGCAGTGAAGAGGCTTTCCCGAGCGGCAGACTGTAAATAAACACTGTTATGAAGCACTGTGCCAACACATTTAAGCACACACATCATTTACAGAGAGATGTGATATTCCATTGCAGTTGTTTACTAGTGCCTGGAAGCAAAACTAACTGCGAGGGAAGCTCCAGGGTGCTGTTTTTCGGTAGACAAAATACATTTAATGCAGAATCAACTCTGAAGGCAGCTACTAAGGGGAGAACAATTGTACAGCCGGAATCCAACAAATAGCTGTCTGTTCAGAATGGCGTGTACGTGTGTGTGTGTGTGTGTGTGTGTGTGAAGTCATTCCTGGGAGGGGACAGGCATTGCTGCCTCTGCAGACATCTCAGCTCATCTGTAAGACAGACGTGTTTTCTGACCCAGCTGACTCACAAGAGTCCATCAGAGCCCTGTAGAAGATATCCACCCATCAGAACCTTTCAACATTGGGGGATACTTGAAAACACTGGGAAGTAAATTTACTACAAGGTTTTAGTTTGTCATCTTGTGCAGGAAGTGTGATAACCAGAGTCTGAAAATATAGGTTGGAGTCTGGACCCATCAACAATTTTAGGTAATTGGCAATCACTAAACCACTGCTTCTGCCCTCAGCTCTCTCAGCTGTAACATGGGGAGCATCATATACTCTACACAGACTAAAAAAAACATAGAAAAGTGAATACATGCAAAAGCTGGAGAGATCTAGTCCTTCCTGTAGTCTAGCCACTCAGCTGGATCAGTGTTTGCCTTCTTGCTTTGATAATGTACAACAGATTCATGAAACACAGTTATTAAACAAAGCTCCATAAAGGAAACATGGACACTTCTCTGTATATTTTGCATTCTGTCTGTCTCTGTGTGTCTTTGTTTCTCTCTGTGTCTCTGTCTCTCTGCCTGTCTCTGTGTGTCTCTGTTTGCTGAGCACCCAGCCTCAAGCACTGAGAAACACCAGGTTCCCAGCTCTTAGGTGTGAGACAACTGTTGTACTATTTTAATATAAGCTGACTTAAAAAATTCTAATATATACATGTATATGCATGTATATAATTTAATAAATTCTAATACATGCATGTATATAATTTAATAAATTCTAATATATATTTTGAGTACATAAAGCTCATTTGAGATAGAAGCCAAAAAAAAAAAGGAAAAAAAAGATTGAGGAACACAGGCAGTTAGCAACACACGGATGAAAACCCAGTTACTACCATAGGTAACTGTACTCTGCTGGAAGCCTACACTGAGCACACTTCCCAGAGTACCTGCCCATGGACTGAGGGAGCAGGAGTAATTATTTACAGCTCCCATCAACACCAGGCAAATGCTGCTCATGGTGGGGGCATTGACTTCCCTGTACAAGCCTCTTGCCACATTGGCAAAACATAAAGAAAGTTTTTAGGCAATTTGATACCCACAGGTGGAACCAGGCAGAAAGGGCAATGGTGAATTACCTCAGCTTCCCAGGTACAAATCTCCCTGTTCCTTTTTATTTCCAAATAACAATACTGCTGAGAAAAATCTGAAGTATGCCACTCAATGACTATGAGGCACTGTCTCATACAAAGGTGCTAAACTCTAGTGGTGGCCTCCAGGATTCCATCCCTGGCACCATCATTTTCTAGTCAGTCTTTGGGTGAGTGAGCCACCTCCCCAAGATTCATTTGCAATGGGAAGTGAGTAACATCTTAGGGAGAAGATGCTTGTTGGTACCCAACAGACCTCTCTTCCTTTTCATTTCCCCCTCCTTTCCTTCCTTCTAACCTTAGGAACACCCCAGGCCCACAGCCCCTGCAGAACTGGGTGGTCTGTCCAGCTCACCCTGCATGTCCGTGACCAGAAGACAGCCACTTGTTTTCTGGTATACCCAGTGCTGGAAGGTGCAACACTTCTGACCAGCCTCCGAATCTCGTCTGAGGAAGTTGATTTCCTTCCCATCTCGGATGGAATACTTTACGAATTCTCCAATCAGCTCCTCTTCCACTGTGGCGTAAGGGATGTTGTTCTCGGGCCGACGGATAAGGAAAATAGGAATGATCCTGTCAGGGAGGAGGACATGATCACACATCAGGATTTCAGATAGGAACACAGTGTCGCCTGGAGAAGCAGGGCACACGGTCAATCCAGAGTCCACTCTGTATTTTATCTTACGTTTTACAGTGCCCTTCGTTATTATGTGATGAACCAGAAGATCCATTACTGCTTTTGTTTCTAGAATTGGTTTCAAACTCTTCCTCCTCGTTACTTTTAATACCATGTGCTTGTTTTGTTTGAGACATTGTCTTACTATCAGCCCTGGCCGGTCTGGAACCTGTTTTATAGAATATGCTGGGCTGGATGGAACTCACAGAGATTAGCCTGTCTCTGCCTCCCAAGTCTTGGGATTAAAAGTATGAATGGCCATGTCCAGCTTTGGCTTTTTACATTTATTTTATGTGTATGGGTGTTTTCCCTACATGCATGTGCACCACACATGTGCCTGGTGCTCACAGAGGCCAGAAGGAGGTGTCAGATCCCATAGAACTAGAGCTATAGGTTATGAGCTACCATGTGGATGCTGGCAATGGAACCCAGGTCCTCTGGAAGAGTAGTCAGCACTCTTAAATGCCAAGCTAATCTCTTCAGCCCCATTTAAAAATAAATGCTGAAAAAAAAAGTCTCACTATATAGCCAGGCTGGCCTCAGATTCACTAGGTAGCTCAGAGTAGTCTAGAATTCTAGGTCCTCTTGTCTCAGACTCCAGAGATTACAGGCTGAGATTACAGGCCAGAGTCAAGAGGACAGGCTCTATCATTTTATCTCAGCGATCCAATGGATCAGTAGCTATCACTCATTCATTCATTCATTCATTCATCCACCTACTCATTCATCATCCATCCACACAGCTCTCCACCCATCCACCCACCCATCCATCCACACACCCATCCATCCATCCATCCATCCACCTACCCATTCATCATCCATCCACACAGCTCTCCACCCATCCACCCATCCATCCATCCATCAACCTACCTATCTACTCATCCATCCATCCATCCATCCATCCACCTACCTATCTACTCATCCATCCATCCATCCATTCATCCATTCTACCCACCCACCCAGCTCTCCACCCATCCATCCATCCATCTATCCATCCACCTATTCACCCACCCACCACATTTATTCCTCCCTCCCTCTCTCCCTCCCTCCTTGTCTCCCTCACTCCCTCTTTCCCTCCCTCCCTATCCATCCTTTTTTCAGTCAGCAAACACTTATCTTCAGTTGCATCTCTGTGTTAACACTCTCCAAGTCACTCTCTCACAAACAGCATTAAAGGGAAGAGAGGCTCTGCCTCTTCCCCCATGAAACTTACATTTAAATGGAGGTAACAGAGAGAGTAACTGCATGGAGCTAACTGGCAGGCAGAAGTCTAATGCAGTGGCTGGCGAGGAGATTGCACTGTGGTGGTGAAGGAGCTGTTATTTCATTTGAAGAGACTCAGAAGCCTTTGCTTATTAATAAAGGTTATCTGAGCAAGACCTGCAGGAAGCTGGGGGCAGCCACAAGGATATCTTGAGAGAGAACCTAACAGGGGGAAGGAGGAGCCACTGAAAGTCTCTTAAAGCAGCCCCCTACCCCCTTAGGATGATGGCTTCTGCATCTTGTTACAGAGATATCTGGGGGCAGTCAGATGGGAGAGGCACATGGAGCTGGGCTCCTGCTGCACACTCCTAAAACACAGGTTGGCCATCAAGCTTTTGTCTGTCTGTCATGCTTTGTCACATCTGCAAGACTCAGGAGACCTGCTGAAGACTCCTTCTAGCCAATTATCCACCATACAAAAGAGCTCAAGGTTTGTCTGGGTTCTTATTAATTCTGTAGCCTTTGGGGAATGGGTATTATTCCAGAATCTAGTCTGGGTATCAGTCACAATCTCAATTAGCCTGGTCACTGCACAGTTGGAGTCATTTGCATAGACAATGTGATGCCGTTGATATTCATGAATTCGAAAACAAAAACTACAGGGAGTGTTTTCTCTTCAAGATCCCAAAAGCTCCCTAAAAGAAAACTGCTTCAGGGGCCCATTACTGGAAGGAAACATGGAGTGTGTGTGTGTGTGTGTGTGTGTGTGTGTGTGTGTGTGTGTGTGTGTTCGTGTGTGTGTTTGTGTGTGTGTATGTGTGCACACATGCGTGCATGTGCAGGGGTAGTGGGGTGGGACCCGCTGTGGGTCTACTGCCTGCCCACAGATCCTAGCAGAATGGGCTTCTCTGGAAGGCAAGAAGTGTGCGGGACCAGTCCAGGGCACACATGCAAGCATCCTGATGCAGACTTCTCAGATTTAGGTCTGGCCTCAACATCCTTCAGAAAACACTTCCACATGCTGTAATCACTCATGTGGTCACAAATTCTCCTATTTTAAGGAAAGACAGTTTCTGATAGGAAAAAAAATGTCCTCTTCAAGGTTGTGGCTTGTTTGGTGGATATGGATGAAGGCAGTTAAGCTTCCCTCCCTACTGGGCACCCACCCTTTTAACTCCTTAAACCCATCTCGATGTTCATTATGCATTCTTTCCTTTAAAAGGGCCCCAAGCCATACAAGAGTCAAGCTAGACACAGCATGCATCTGCCCCTGCTGTAGGACATCATGGCTCTACGGGTGGTAGATGAGTTACTGCTTTTATGACAGGCACTTAGAAACTACTTTTGAGGGTCAGTGAGATGGCTCACTGGGTAAAGGCACTTGCCGCCGCCAAACCTGACGACCCGAGTTCAAACCCTAGGACTATCGTGGTTAAAGAAGAGAATCATTTCCTTTCAGATGTCCCCTTGATCTCCACACATTCACTGTGACCACACACACACACACACACTACATTAAAATGTAATGAATAAAAAAGGACCTGCTTTTGATCAAAAACCTTGATTCTCCATTTGGGACAAGGTAACTAGAAGCAGGCTAAAAGCTTGCCAGCTCTGCCTCCATTTTGTGTCCTACTCCTTTCTTTTGGGCCAGACTCCTGCTTGATTTTGCCCAGGCATGTTAAACGCTCCAGGAGTGTCTGCCTACCTGATCTATTTCATTCCCAATTCAAGGCTGAAGTCACAGAGATAACCCATCCTCTTAACCCTCGGATCCCAGACACAGCAAAACCTCCCAAGACAGGCCACACCCTAGATAGCTCCATTATCCTTAAGGACAAGGCTGCACCCTAGAGGAGCAGGAGGAAACAGATCATGTTCTCTGGGTGACAGCAATAACAACTCCCGCTCATCTTGCAGAAGCAAAGATAGAGGGCTGTTTAATCATGCATGCCCCTGGCCCTCTTCGTTTGTTCAGTTATGCATACTTCGTGCTTCCTGTAGTTCCACATCTAGCTCCTGTCAGCACCCCAAGGATGAACTTGGAGTCATTGGATTCCTTTCCATTTCTCTTCCCAATGCATATGCTCTTTTCACTGGTTTTCACCATCACTGGTCCTATGGGGACAGTTGTCCAAGCCCAGCCTGTTAGAGTTGCCAGAATGTGCTTTTTTTGCCCTAAAATTCTGTTATGGTTTCTACTTTTCCTCCCTTAAGGTAGAAGAACTTAAGAGAACAGAGGCTGGAAAAAGAGAGAACGAGAAAGATAACAGGGCAGGTTCCTACAGCATGAAACTGAAGTCACACCAACTGCTGTCTTCCTGTTTCGCAGGAAAGCATTGGGTCTTCGCCCTTTGCAGCATATCAGTTTTGCTAAAGTTGCTGCCGAGTCTTCTTGTACTAGATACTCGTGTGGTGTGCTTCTCGGCAGACAGCAGCAAGCTCTGGACATCCTACTGTATCATGCCACCCAAGGGAAAAGTTTCTGCGTGAACAGGAACATACAGACAAGAACTGCTTCCTTCTTCACCCTCTTTCACTGACGGCTGCTCTTTTTGCATTTCCAGCAAGTCCTGACTTGGCCCTTTCTCTTTCTACTTAGTATGCAAATATGACTTTATTATACAAACAGCTAATAAACACAGGCTCCAGACTCTCAGAAATTTGCTGAGACCCAAGATACTTAAGCAATGAGTGGATAAAGAATAAAATTTCTCTCCAAAGGATCATGGGAAGTGGATTCTGTTCCAGTGCTCCTGATCTTCCCTGCTGTGTCCACCTTTTCCTGCGCTGCCATAGCTTATGCTTCTCATGTTAGTTGTATTGTAATAGCCTCAATTCTCTTGTATTTATTTATTGCTTTGACAAGGCAATAAAGGGGAAGTCTCTGAGGGGATATATCCGACTTTCTATTTATCTTGGTAGATATCATAGTATCTGTTTAATGTGATAGAATCCATTAGCCCATTCACATGTGTATTTACTTAGTAAGTACCAGGGCTAGTGAGTTAGCCAAGCAGGTAAAGGCACTTGCTCTATAAGCCTGGTGACCCGAGTTCAATCCCTGGAACCTACATAAAGACATAATGATAACTGACTCTACAGAGTTGACCTTTGACCTCCACATGCATGCCACAGCACAATAAGCCTCACTGTATATGTATGTACATTACCAATAATGATAATAAAATTTTAAAAATACGTGGTTTTGTTTTATGTGTATGGGTGTTTTGCCTGCATGTGTCTCTGCATCATAGCCACGCTGTACCTCTGGAGGCCAGAAGAGGGCGTCGGATCCTCTGGAAGTGGAGTTATGGAAGTTGCGATTCACTACATGGATGCTGGGAATTTAATCTGGGTGTCTGGAAGAGCAGCAAGTGCCCTTAACCCCTGAGCCATCTCTCCAGCAGCACAATAAAAAAAAAAGTTTTTTAAAAGATTATTTATGGGCTGGAGAGATGGCTCGGAGGTTAAGAGCACTGACTGCTCTTCCAGAGGTCCTGAGTTCAATTCCCAGCAATTACATGGTGCCTGACAACCATCTGTGATAGGGATCCAATACCCTGTTCTGGTGTGTCTGAAGACAGGTATAGTGTACTCATATAAATAAAATAAATAAATCTTTTTTAAAAAGATTATTTATCAAGGGACAGGAGAAATGACTCGGTGACTAAGAATACTTACTCTTCTTTCAAGGGACTTTAATTTTGTCCCCAGTACCAACATCTAGTGACCCAACATGTGGTGGCTCACAAACATCTATAACTCCAGCTCCAGGAGGTAGCAGCCCTTCTCTAAAGTCTGCATCTGCCCTCACATGTGCAGGTTCCCACACAAAGATGCATGGATGTACATATATTTACATTTTAAAAATTAATGTATTTTTACTCGTGCAGATATTTTGCCTGCATGTGTACCTGTGAGCCACATGCATTCAGTGCCCACAGAGGCATCAGAGGGTAGACCAAAGGGGCTGGAGTGATCGACAGTTGCGCCACCATGTGAGTGTAATTGAGCCCAGGTTCTCTGGACCAGCTGTCAGTGCTCTTAGCCACTGAGCCATCTTTCCAGCCCCACTTATTTAAAAAAGTGTTTTAAGTTAAAAATATAATATTTATCAGGCATTCATTTACACCTCTGGAGATCAAATAAGAACAAGATAGTGGCTATGTGATCCCTCACAGAGTTTATAGTCAGAGAGACAAAATCAAACACTTGACCCTTCTCACCCTCGAACCCTCTAGGCCTTCCACATCCATAGCAAATCAGAGGTAGCAACACATGGGAGTCGCCACACACTTACTCCGGCACCTCTCCGAAGCCTTCCAGAGGCTCTGCTTCAGCGGCATAGATCTTGGCGTAGTATCTGGCAGTATTCTGAACGTAGCATTCCTGGATTGCCCAAAAACATGGTAAATCGGACTGACTGGAAGAATTCAGAATTCATTTCTCCTACTCAGCAAGACGATTCCTAGTTCTAAGATTGCTCAGATAAATAGATTCCTAGGCCTATTATGGCTGGTTGGCAACTCAGAAGCATCTTTTTTTTTTTTCAGTGCTGGGGACCTTTGCCAGGACTTTGTGAGTTAGGTAAGGTAAGTATCCTGCCACTAAAGCACATCCCAGAAACAAAACTTACAATGTGGGATTGGTCAGCAATAAAGTTGCTGAGTCATGAGTTACACAAGCCAATATCAGATAAACGGCCTCTCAGGCAAAATGTCTGGGAACTATAATATTTCTAGTTGGAAACCTTCTAGGAGGAAGGTTGTCCCTGATCTAAAGGGACAGGCCCTTTGGCACGATGTCAGACAATGGTTGGTAGGAGTGGGAACGGTATTGCCCACAATCCTCCCCAATTCCTTCTCAGAGGTATAATCTGAGTAGTAAATAGTGAATGGTTGGTAGGATTCCTCCTGAGGAAAAGCCAAGTGGATTGATTGTGCTTTCTACCCTGTAAGTCCTGCTGACCAGGAATCGGATGCTGTGGGAGAACTTCCATGACTGGGTCATGCTTGAGACAAAAGAAGGTAAGGGGAGGACAGGGAGAAAGGAAGGAAAGAAGGGAAGAGGTTGGCTTTCGGGGAGAGAGCAACACAAGTGGAAAGCTCCGTCTCCCTTGGAGCACAGGCGTTGCCCTGATCAGCACACAGTGACATCGGACATTCCCACACCTGACCTGGGTGGTCAGTGCTTGATAGTACATGAGCACCTCACCAAATCCTCCCTACGAATCCCCCAGGAAACAGTTTACAGGGGCACACTGGGAAAGTTCTAGACCTAACTCTAGCAGGTTGGCCAGTGCTGGTGTCAAGGCTGGGTGGAGAGAAGGGCCAAGGCTCAGGTGGAGAGAAGGTGCTGCTCTTTGTTCCATGAACGTCTCCCCATCTTTTGTCTTGTCCCATGGCTCAGTTTTAGAGAGAGAGAATCTAGCTAGACACTCGGAAAAAAGTCAAATGTCCTGTGGAAATACTACAACTCTCAACTCTGAGTCTCATTTTCCTCTCATTGCATCATGCTCCCAACCACAGAGACACCCTTGGGCTCCCTGACCCACCTGGGCGGCAAGTTTGTAGTTCCTCTGCACAAGTTCATCATTGTTTCTGGTCCCATGGGCGACAGCATTGTGCACCTTGAGTACGCATGCGTGGCCAGGCTGGAAGACGGGCATGAGGCCCTGCATCACCGTGCTACGGAAAGCTTTGCGATGCACCCCTTCGCCAAAGTGAAGCTCCTCCGTGGAGATCTGGCCACGCAGGTGGTCCCCAAAGTAGCTGTCATTGAAAACATCTTCTTTGAAGATGAGCTGGCTGAATTCAATCTCTTCGCATCCTAAAACACAGTACAGCTTTCAGTGGACAGAATCGTTTCCAGTCCTGGCCTTTGACTAGTTACTCTCCCTTTATAAGAATAAAGACAGAGTAGACCAGTAGAACCCAGAGACACAGATCAGGCTTGACACCCAACAGAGACACAGCGAGCAGGAGTTGGGAGTGAGGGGGAGAAAGGTCATCTAAGGAGGACATGAGAACAGGCTGAGGGCCATGGACAAGCAGAGACTGGTTGGAGCAACTCTAAAAAATGGGTAGAGCAGAAGAGAGAGGAGCACCATTGAGAAGATCCAACAGGACCTACTCAATTGTCTCTCCTTAGGGCTTTTCCAAGGGGCTTTGCAGATTTTTTTTTTCTAGCTGTTTCATTTCTAAGTGCGCACACATACTCACATACCCTATGTGTTTATATACAAGAGTAAAATTCCCTCATCTTGGGTTATACTGCCTCCACTAAGAAAGGAGTGCACACACACACACACACACACACACACACACACACACAGAGAGAGAGAGAGAGAGAGAGAGAGAGAGAGAGAGAAGGCAAGAGTTGGGGTGGCTTCAACAAGAATGCCTTGAGTACCTGGTCTCTAGTTGGTGCCACTGTTTGGGAAGGACTGAGAGATGTGAACACTTGAAGAATGTCATGGAGGTGGGCTCTGAGACTTCAAATGCCTCAGGCCATTCCTAGAGTGTTCTCTGCCTGCTGTTTGTAAGATGTGAGCCCTCAGCTGCTACCCCAGCTGTCTGCTGTCATGTCTTAACTCTGGTACCACGGACACTCGCCCTTGGGAGCCCTAATTAAACACGTTCTTTTATGACTTGTTTTGGTTGTGGTGTTCTATCACAGCAACACAGGGTGACTAACAGATGAGACAGAAGAATTTTCATTGAAGGGGAATTTTTACAAAGTACAATAATTTTGGATATTTTCATAAGAGAGCAGTGGATTATTCTCTGACAGCTGTCGGAGCTGATGCATGACGCCGACAGAGCCAATCGGAAATTGGCTTAAACTAGAGATGGGCAAACCAGACTTATTCCTTACATGAACAAATGAGGTGGCTTTCAGTAAAACAGTGCTGGTTGGATTTTTCATGTTTAGGCAGGATTTTACTGTGTATCTTTGGCTGGCCTGAAACATCTTAGGTTGACCAGGATGGCCTTGAGTGGACAGAGATCTGCCACCCTTCTCTGTGCTGGGCTTAAAGATGCCTACTTTTACACTCCAGCCATAAAATCTGAAATCTTTCTGCATATTTACAAGAAGATAGAAATCATGGGCATGCAAAAAATCCCATTTCGTGATTTTATTCAGAAATATTTGCAAATCACAGCTTCTAAAGCAACCCATGGGGCTAGAGGGACAACTCTGTGGGTGAAGTGGTCACTGCACAAACATGACTTGAATTTTTGGTTCCCAGCACCCATGAAAAAAAAAAAAAAGCCAGGCACAGTAGTGTGTACCTTCAATTTTAGCACTGGGAGGGGGTGGGGTGGTGGAGAAAAGAGGATTCCTATGATCTGCCAGTTAATCTAACAGAAACGGTGAAGGTTCTGTGAGAAGCCCTGTTCTAGAATACTAAAGTGGAGGACAGTAGAAGACACCCATTGCCAGCTTCTGGCCTACATTCAAAGAAGGACTTCCTCACACATACACATGAATACACACACACACACACACACACACACATGTAGCCTATGTGTCAAACTAGGCATTAAGACTGTGAAGAGACAGGGTTATTCTAGAAGATTATAGTCAGAAAGAAAAACCAGCAGACAGGGGGAATCTTCAAAGTGAAGAAGTAGGTGAACAGCCGAAAGCTGCAGAAGGAAGAGGGGAGGCAGACGGATACTCTAGAAGGCCAGAGGCCTGAGGAGAATGTGATGCCTCATTAACTAAAGGGCTGTGGAGCTGAAGACAATGAAGACACCACAGACTGGAGCGGACCGGTCTAGTACACCGCAGCAGGCCATGCAGTCTGTCTCCAGCACTACGAACAAGCAAAGCAACTCAGAGAAAAGTCATCAAATGAACGAAAGGTGAAAGTTGCCTAAATAGCGTGTTCTGTGTGGCATAATTAACAATCCTGGCTATAAATTCTAATATGAATATTACTTTAATGAGGACATAACCATGAGGGAGAAAATTAAAGATCTGAGGAGTAGTCACAGTCTCTTGAAAAGCTCTGGAGGGAAAGAGCTAGTGTCTGTCGGAATTGTCTCCTCCTCTGTGAAGACACCAAAAAATGTCCTCCACAGTGACACCGTAGCAGATGAATTGTTTCAGTCAGATCTTGCTTCAAGTGGGAGCTGGCAAGACTCCCGCTTTGACTCGGGTAGCAGAGACATGGGGATTTCGGGGGTACTCAGGAGAGACAAGAATATAGCACACAGGCCATGGGCTGGGACAAAGCTGCAGTTTTCTCCAAAGCCTGAAAAAGGCCAACAGTGTTCTGACTCATGCTCCCAGCGGCCTCAGGTACCTGAAGGACAGTTCCTTGCTGGGAACAGACTCACTGCAGTTGGCCAACTGTGAGACTAGTGTGTAGACTTTAGAAGCCCTCGCCTGGTTCTTTGCTACAGAGAAACTGTGGCTTCCAGCAGCCTGAGCTGCTGTGAGGTGAAGTGAGTATATTAATACATTTTTAAAACATCGAGCCTGTAAGGATGGTCCACCAGGCAAAGGTGCTTGTCCCTAAGCCTGAAAATCCGTGGATTCCTGAGAACCACATGATAGAAGGAGAGGACCAATTCCCAGAAGCTATTATCTGGCTTACACACACACACACACACACACACACACACACACACACAGAGAGAGAGAGAGAGAGAGAGAGAGAGAGAGCGCTAGGGTCACAGATGAGGCCATCACACCCAGAACAGTCTCAGCTTCTTGTCTCCTATGTACCAGACTTTAGAGAATCTTGATTCTCTGTTGTCTTGTTTACCAGAAGTCTTAGCTATTTTGTTTGCTTTAAATACCATGCAGCACACCTTCTAGATGCTCATCCACTATAACCACCAATGTGCAGCTCTCCTGAAATTGGCCGAGAATGGTATGCTGCAGGGTTGCCTGAGCACGTGTTGATGCAGGGCTGGCTGCATGGGTGTGTGGAACAGCCTTGCTGCTGTGGGAAGTTCTTCCTGGTGCCACAGCTTGTTAAAAAGTGGCTTCTGGGGGTAATTTAGATCATGAGAATTGGGAGACTCTATAGCCAAAAGCCTCCCGACTCTCCAAAGCAATGGGTAGGGGTGGGTGGGGACAGGGAGACACGTCATTTTCCTTAAGAGGGAATCATAGAAGGCATAGCAAGCTCAGACTGTGCCAGGCTGTGGAAACTTGATGGACTGCCTCGCTGTTGCATGAATGGCTAAAAGCAGTAGCTGTTATAGTGTAGAACACCATAGACACCAAAAGGCAGTACCAATCAATCAAATGAGGTCATGTTCTGCTCAGCTAGTCAAACTGAAGAGGAAATTGGAGAATCAAAACATAAGCATCAATGACTAGAAAGTCCCATGCAAGCAACACTCATGTCTAAAGAAAGTCAAGAACAAATTCCCCTGCACAAGTCCCCAAGACTGCACAGCTGCAGTTTAATCTTCTCCACAAATGATACACTCCTAGGTATTTGCAATCTACTGAAATTCTAGCCAGGACAATAGCCCTTCCAAGCCCCACAGAAACAGCTCCTGAGTCAGCATGCACTTCAGAAGCCCTTCCTGGGAGATCATCCTAGACTTGGTTGGAAGAGTGCACCTGGGAACAATGAGCGTTCTTCAAGGAGCTGTTTCATGATTGGGTGGGGAGCCCAGTTCCTGCCAGGCCAGCCCACTTCACTTACCTCTATTATACTCTGTGTGACTTGAAAGCTGTTTGAGAACTGGAAGGAAACAAAGAGAATGGAGTCAGGATGGGTGTCCCTCTGGGCTGGCAGGGGCCTAGGGCTTTGACGAGCAGCTGAGAAGCCGAGGTTTACCTTCAGCTGTGAGGTTAAACTCAGCAGTGACTTTTCCATAACTGTTCTTGATGCAGCAGTAATAGAGGCCCTGGTCCTTCTGACCAGCTTGGGCGATGGCCAAGGAAACACTGGAGTTGTCCCCTGCGCTGGAATAGGGGACATTAACATTCACATGCTTCATCATTTGGAAGTTCTAGTCCTCTCAAGAAGGGAGGAGTTAATGTCTTCCTGCCTTGCTCTTTCAGCCAATGGGCTGGCGAATAGACTAGAATCCCCCAATCAGCTAATTAAACAATGGATTCATACATAGAAAGGATTACTGCATTGCAGTTTCATATTCTTACTCTGACACACAACATGAATATGCAGAAACGTTCTGAAGGGCTAACTGGCTTCAGGAAAGCCAGGAGCCTTCAGGAGTTTCTAGAAGCTGTGGTTAGCACGGCTCAGAACTCACCTATTTATGTTGATGATCCAGGTATCCTGTGCATGAGGGAAATCAATAACTCTAAACCCAAATCTAAACGTAGATACAGTAGGAAGCAAAAGAAAGAGGCTCCGGGCTTTACAAAAGGATTCAGAACTGTGGGCTTCTATTAGGTGAAGTTGTTTTGAGATGGGGATCTTACTATTGTTCTCAAATTCCAGACCCCAAGCAATCCTCTTGCCTCAGACTCCCTACCAATATGTTCAAGGCCCTTCAAATAATGTACATCTTTGTGAATGTGTCTATCCCTCCATCGCCCTGCCCAGTATTACTAAGTACTATGAGTCAGTAACCGACGGTATGGTGGATGAAGACAGTGAAGATGACGACAACCACAGCAACGGCTAACGTGCTGTACTTGCTGCGTACCAGGCACACACGAACTCATCTTCACTTCATCCTCAGAAAAACTTAAGAGATCATCTATAGCTACTGTTCCCAGTCAGATCGGGGAGCTGAGACAATCTAAGCTGCACCTTAGGCTGACTCCTCAGGCAGCTTCTGATTCCTGACCTTAAGTTGGAGATAGTTATGTCAATGTTTAGAGCTGCAGTCTTTATTCAAAAAATGACAAGGATGTACATTGCTGGAAAAGTAGATATAAATCCTATTGTAATTGTGTCCTTATATGATGATTGCATAAATGTACACTCTCATTTGGGTTTGTCTCAGTTTGACAACAAGCATCCACTGATGTTAGCTTGTCTCGCTCGATACAAGGCTTTGCTGTTGGCTGTTTTTTTCTTTTTTCCAACAGACTTCAAATCTTTGATTTATACTGCCTCCTCAGGAAAAGACCAATAGTTTATAACAAGGTCCACTAAGTAATATCAGTTTTTCCACTGTTTGAGACTCTAAGCATTCTCCGATGAAAGGTTCAGTCTAGACATGAACAGGTCTACATCTAAAGAGAGCATTTCCTGGCAGAGGAAATGTCAAGTGAGTCCCAGAGAGTGATGGGGTGTCCTTCTCTTGAGATACATAGACCAGAACAGCAAGTCACGGAAGAGGTAGTTACGATCCCCCTAAAATGCTAGAGCTGAACTCAAATTGTCTTGTGAGCATCTTCCCTGTGGTTCAGATTCAGGAAGACCCCCATCTGACTGACCTGCTGCCTTCTCCTCGTTTCCCCAGTTCCTTCAGGGAAAAAAGACTGAGAAGTCAGAAGGGCCTAGATTTCAGTCCTGTAGAGGGGTTTGGACACGTTACTCAGCTTCCAGAAAGAGCAAGTTGCTTATTGACTGTGGTGTGAGCAGCAGCAGACAGCAGGAATGTGGGTCTGTAACAAAACATCTCACCTTGTAAATGGCCATAAGCCAGGAAGGTGGGGTTCGGTAGTGTCAACGGGCTTTCTCCACAAAAGAAAACCACCTCTTTATGTCCCTAAGATGGCTGTTATGTGTTCAGTCATTAGGATTTGGTGATGGGGAAGAAAAGCAATTAAGCCAGAAGATGCAACAATGTTACTTTGGAAAGTAAAAGAGGATCCTGCGTCTTTTGAACCCATGAGTGAGCTGAGTTTCTATCCTATTACTTTGTAAGTTAGGAAGCGCTGTCTTTAGGACAGCATGGCTAAGTGTGGCTAAGGCTGAAAGGAGAGTCGCTTCCTAGTGGCCAAAAAAAAATAAATAAAATTTGAATGGCCACAACAGCCTTAGAGATTACCAACTTGTAAGCTCCTCAGAGTCAAGACATACCACCACCACCACCACCACCACCACCACCACCACCACACACACACACACACACACACATACACACACACAATGCATGCCAATGCATTCTTTTTTGTAGACTACATGTCTTGCTCTGGACACAAGAAAGCATTTTGACTTCCAGCTTCCAAACTGTAGCTTGTTAAGGAAATTGCCTAAAATTCAGACAGAGGTGATGGCATGTCCCTGGTCAGTCACCTCCTAACAGGCTCACCAAAAGATTACTTTGCTTATAAAGGATTGTCCCAATGCTTGCCTTTGCTATTTATTATTTGAAATAGAACACGTCCAGCTGTATGTAGTGGTGAATGTCTGTACTGCCAACTACGAGAAAGGTTGAAACAGAAGGAGTACAAATTTGAGGCCAGCCAGGGCGACTCATAAAACAAAGACAAAGAATATGATGACCCATCCAGACAGTTTTGAGTCATGTATTGACTTGAAGGTTTCTGTGTAGAAGAAAAGACAACACTCAAGTTTAGTGACTGCTAACCATAAGCTGATTTTATATGTATTTGAAAATACATGCTACATATCCCTTTGCCTATTGGCTGCTCATGTCCTCACTCTTCAAATGCCCATTTGAACAGTTTTGCCATCTAACTGATTTCCTTCTCAGTTGGTGGGCCTAAGACCTTTGCTACATGTTCTAATCACCTTTGAGAGAGTTCAGCTCTTTGAAATCTACACCTTGGCAAATGCTACAGTTTAGGTGTTGACTATCCCTCGACACACAAAATACATAGGCTACAGACTTGTCCCCAGGATGGTGTTTGTGGATCCTTCGGGAGGTTACACATAGAAGTTGGTCTTTAAGTTATTGATGGCACATCCTCAAGGGGGGTTGTGACATCTGGGCTTCTATTCTCTAACTATGAGGTCAACATCTCCCTCTAATACAGACCACCTCATTGGCATCTGAAACCCCCAGATGCTCAATCATAGATGGAATCTCTAAAAATGATAAAAAAAAATAGGCCCCCTATGAGTTAGTCATCTCATGTTATTTCACTAGAGTGACAGAAAGCCAGCTGGCACAACAAGGCACTGAGTGACTTCAGGTAGGGGCACATAAAATAAAATACTTCAGTGGAAGTAAGGATGAAAAGAGTTAACGAGCATTTGAAAAGCCATCTGAAATCTGAGCTGTCTACTGACAAAGGAATTGTGACTTAGAAACTTTCTCAAGTAGCAGTAAGAAGAAAGCAAAATGGTCCAACTAAGCCATTTCTAAGGAGAAATGGAGCAAGCATGACGTTAAAGGCCCCGAGAGCTTACTAGTGACCTGTGCTCCTTGGAGGGAACTTGGGTTTGGGGAAACACTCCTCAGATGCAAAAAGGCCCAGAAATTGCAAACACTAACCTCAGATTAGACCAAGAAGAGAGCATCAAAACTTGCTGGAAGGTTAATTGTGCTGGAAGTGGGAGCTTCAGAAAATGAATCAGTAATGAATATTTTTAAAATAAAGCTCTAAGCTGGGTGGTGGTGGCGCACGCCTTTAATCTCAGCACTTGGGAGGCAGAGGCAGGCGGATTTCTGAGTTCGAGGCCAGCCTGGTTTACAGAATGAGTTCCAGGACAGTCAGGGCTACACAGAGAAACCCTGTCTCGAAAAACCAAAATAAATAAATAAATAAATAAATAAATAATCAAATAAAGCTCTAGGGAGATGCCTTGATTTAAAAATCAGACAGCTTCACTGTTAGAATCAGTTTTAAGCCATGCATATCTAGACAAGCAGGGTAATGGGGTCATATCCAGCCAAGTGGTCAGTGTGCAGTTGTGTTTAGATTTTCTGGAGTGATGCTGATAGGCCAGAGACTGCATGCAGCTCAAGTCTTCATGAGAACCCTTGAGAAATAATGTCCAGACATTCGTTTTAAGCAGGGGTATTTGCTATTTCCCACTTTTTCAGCCTACTTCCATTAAGTTTACAGAGATGAGAATACCTCTGAGAACTCGGGGAGTTGGCCTAAAGCCTCTCTAGACAGAAAGAAGTTTCTAGAAGATGCCTAAGTTAGGCTGATCTCTACTGATTTCTTTTGAGGGCTTGTCAGATGAGCCAGGACTTTACCTGTTTTCTAGAACATTCATTACAGGGGCTGATTTGGGGAGCTGAGTGGGTTGTCTTCCATGTGACATTTTCCAATGATTCTTGTACTCACCTCCAACTCTGACTCCTCCAACATCTTAAGTACCCAGAATAATGTGCTCTACCTATCTTAAGTGATGTTGTTTGTTTTCCTCAAAAGCTTCATTTTTCTGTGACCCTGGGACCTTTCCCCCGTTGAAGTCTTTTTAGTTTTGTTTAATCTTTGTTAGATTAATTGTGAGGCAGAGGGAATGTTGAATCAGAAAATACCTGTAAGTATAAGTTCCAGAAAGTTTTGTAACCCTAGGCCCTCGGAGCTTAGAATATTATTCACTGTGTATCCTGATTTTAAAAACTGTAGGAGATCCTATCCCTTTCTAGGAACACACAATTCACAGGTGGCAGGCTGAAGCAAGAACGAGCCACCATATTCCCTGTCTGGATAGCTGGGTTCCACTCTTCCTCTTCTTGAATACTATGTCAGCCTTTCTTCACCACGACAAAACTATCTGACACAGAGTACTGAAAAGGAAGGAGGACTTATTTTGGCTCACGGTTTCAGTCTGTGACCAGTTCACTCCGTCTCTGCACTTAGATCATGAAAGATGGTCATAGGCGCTGAAACACCTCACTTCAAGAGCCAGAGCCAAGACGGACTCTTCAATAAAAAAAGTGGGACCCCAGATAACCCACTTCTACCAGGCCCCACGTCCCAGTTTCTACCGCCTTCCAGTAATATCACCAAGTTATAAATCCATCAGTGGATTGACCCGTTAAGTTAGAGCCCTCAAGCCTTCATATTCTCATTGGTTCCCTAAAAGCCCATCATCTGTCAATCAAAACCCATGAGCCTTTAGGGTTCGGGGGGCGGGCACTTCACATCCAAACCTTAACAGACATTGGATATGGGATCTCTGCTTCTGCTCGCTTCTCATTTCTTCTTATTTATTATTTTCTTTGACAACCACACTAAGAAGCAAACAAACAATAACCGTGAAAAGTTAGCAGAGGAGGAGCATCCCACCTTTTCTTGACCTGGGCTATCGACTTTGAATCTTTCGTCCAGCAAACAGTGGAGTCTTCATGAATCTCTGAAAACTGGCAGCTCAACTTTATGTTCCCAGAGTGCACGGGAGCCATCTCGGCCTGGATCTTCTTCAGCAGCACTGGAGCTAGAGACAGATGCGCAGGTTAGTGTAGGCAAGTGTCATCTCAGTTACTGATCCGCAGTAGTCCTGAGAGACTGCTCCTAACGCTCCTAACTCATGCGGCTGGCTCAAATGTAATAGTGGGAAAGGAAATTAATAATAATAATAATAATAATAATAATCGCTTGTTTTTCATTATGTAAATTCTAAAGGTCTATAATGCTCATGGCAAAATAGAAGTCAAGCTATTTTTAATATTTTATCTAGATTTATGTATGTGCACCATGGTTGTGCCTGGTGTTTGCAGAGGTCAGAACTGGGGATCAAATGTTTTGGACCTGGAGTTGTGGGTGGTTGTGAGCCTCCATGTGGGTGCTGAGAATTGAACCTGGGTACTTACTTGGCAAGAGCAGCCAGTGTTCTAAATCACTGAGCTAGTGCTCTCTCTCTGTCTCTCTCTCTCTCTCTCTCTCTCTCTCTCTCTCTCTCTCTCTCTCTGTCTCTCTCTCTCTCTCTCTCTCTGTCTCTCTGTCTCTCTCTCTCCCTCTCTCTCTGTCTGTCTCTCTGTCTGTCTCTCTGTCTCTCTCTCTCTCTGTCTCTCTCTGTCTCTCTCTCTCTGTCTCTCCCCCCCCCCAAATTTTTGTTCTTTAAAAGAAGAAAGTTTTAGCAATTATAGAGGCCTAGTCCGAAGGATTTGGGCCAAATAAGTTGCTGTTGTAGAATCACCTGATCAAAATAAGAGCTGTATAATCTGCATTGTTCAGGTAACTGAGGTTACATTCTCCAAATGTAAAAGACAATTCAAATGAATTATTTGTTGAATAAAGTTCACACGTGCACGCACACGCACACACACACACACACACAGGGTGCAGTTGTCTTTGTGAAGATGGTCTAGTGGACTGGAGTGACATGTCTTGCATCCATCTCACTGACAAGAGTGACACGAATATGAACGAAACCCAAATGTTAAGGAAATTACTCCCATGGGTTGGTCTGTTATTTTGAGATTGCCTCTTGAGATTAACAAAGACACGGCCCTATGAGCAAATGTGTAATTGGCCAGAGAAGCCACCAGGTGGCAGTATAGGCATTAGAACACTAGGAGGCCAGAGGGACCCAGCCAAGGGAACAGTTCATCAGGCTTGGCATTGTGGGAAGTGTGGTCAGTTTATTACAGCCCAGGTGGTAACACAAAAGGACACATTATCGTAGATTGCTGTCTAGTCCACAGGCGAGCCAGAAGTACCAACTCAAGGCTTCATTTACTCGGATGCCTCGCACTTCACTACACTGAATGCGTTGTGTTAATGGTTTTCCAATTTTTCTTTGACTCCACAGATAACCAAGATAGCAGAATAAAATATCAAATCAGACTTGGGCCCCAGGAAGTGGCAATGGGCTGGTTGAGTCACAAATTCCTCAAACAGAGCCTCACAGAGATTTCTGTCACTATTATGGGAGCCGATCACGTCGTGGGATAAAGAGGAGAGCATAAAGCAGCTGCAGAGCTGAATGATGGATTCTGGGGAGTGGGCAGTCAGCCAAGACCCTGTTCGTGTGGCGGACATGCAGCTTGGTGGGTAAAGGCACTTGCTGCCAAGCCTGAGACCTGAGTTCAATCCCTGAGACCCACCTGGTGAAAGATGAGAACTGATTCCTGCAAGCTGTCTACACACACACACACACACACACACACACACACACAAAGTAAATGTAATTTTTAGAGTCTCCTGTGATACAGGAAGCTTTCATTGTGCTAAGCTCCGGAAGCCAAAGAAAGCCCACTCAGTGTCAGATTCATTTCTCTCAAGATCACCTCAGCAGGTTCTCTTGCTACCTATCCCGCCCTGATGAAGGAGGAGGGCATTAAATCCAGGCTTCTTGCAAAGGAGAGCACCAGAGTGCTGGGGTCCATGCAGTCAAAGCAGCACCTGGCATCATGTGACCCACCCATTCTAGAGAGGAGGACCGGAGTCTTACAAAGCCCATGCCCTGTGTCAGAGTGAGCACTTCAATGTTGTATTTTCCTAGTGGTCATGTTAAACAGTAATAAACTCAAAGGACAGAAAGCTACAGAGCAAAACAAAGAACTTCTGAGTGCTCCCTGGTGACATAGAGTCTTAAAGATGTCAGTCACTGATAGAAGCTCATAGATGTTCCTCAGAAATAACTAGTTCAAAGGAAGAGGCAGGTGCTTGTCCAGGGCAGAGGTTATGTGTGCGGACATCCCATAATAGCAAATCATTTTCCAGGTCACTGATCCTCATCTCTGTGTTGGCTCATTGGTGCATATAGCAGGTGCTTACTAAGGAAAAACACTAATTATTGCAAATAGTTGGGGTCGACCTATAAAAACAACTGTTCCTTTACTAAACCAATGGTCAGGTGGTCAGCCAAACCAGGTAAGGGCCTGGGGCTGGTTTGAAGGTAGGGCAAGGAGTGGTGAGCTTAAACCAGTGAGAGTCAGTGTTTCTGCCTCCTTCTCTTCAAAGGAAATTGCTGCTCAAGACGAGAGAGGCTGGCCTACTGCTAACCTCTTCCTAGCTGGGAAAGGACAACCATGTAAAGCCCTGCTCAGACACAAGCAAATCTTCTTGAAACTTCCTCCAAACTGAGAAGAATTCCAGAGCAGGTCACGTAAGGATCTTCGGTTCTTTGGACCCGATAGCTCCACACCCCTGTAAGGGCCACATTCTTCAGAGAACAGATAAGAACCACTCTTCCTTCTGATGCTAGATTGGCATCAACCCTGTGGTGTCAGTGACCTGGTGTTTGCACTAAGTTCTTCATCCCTGTGCTGGGTGATTCCTACTGTTAGTACCTCCAATCTACAGGTGAAATGCAGTCCCTCATACAACAGCACAAACTCTGTCGTGTTGCTGTTTCTTCTGAATTGAAGTCAATGAAATTTAAGGTAAACTCAAGTCTGGGAAGCTTCTAGAACCTTTGAGATTCTCAGGGCCCCATCTCAAGGTTATATAAGCAGCAACAGTTGCTAGGGAAGTTGCAGGTCAGCGCCCAGCCCTCCCAGGACTCAGCTTCATGAGGTTTGAGACATCCGTGCGCTTGTGAGTAACCCTCTTGTTCGTTGTCTAGTCTTTCCAATCAACTTGCTGGATCACCAGACTTGAGTCAAATCATGTCTTTGGTGTGTCACTGATGCAGTATCTGAGATGAATACATGTTTATTCTTGTGTCCCTAGGAAAAGTCACACAGCAAACACCCGTGGAAAATCTTAATACTGAATCTGCCTCTCAATGGCCTTCAAGGTCTTGGCCCCTGGAAACATGGTCCCTGGAAACAGTCCTGCATGCTGCACTGAGCTGCTTTGGCTTGGAAAAGCCTTCGTTTGCCACCTGAAGGCCTTGTCCTGAGAAAGAGGAGGCTTTCTCAGGACATGGCTGAGAGCCCCAGGTACCTGCTTTGCTAGAACCACCTGCAAACTATCCAGAGTGCACACCACCTTCCTCTCCCCCACCCCTCGCCTTTGTACTTGGGGAAGTTGCACCGAGCTTGGTCCAAACTCTTTCACGGTAGCAGGACTCAGAACTGTCCTTTTCCTGTGTGTAACTTGAAGAATCATGGACAAGAGCACCCAGCGTATCATCTTTCTCTGAATGGAAACATTTTGTTGTTGTTTTGAAGCAGTCTCACTATGTAGCCCAGGCTAGCCTTCAACTCACTATATATTTAAGCTTACCTCAAACTCACCATCCCTCTGCCTCAGCCTCCCAGGGGCTGGGATTGCACACCTGACTTTGAACCCACTTCTGAGACCCTTTAACACATTCCTTCATTCTCTTTAAATACGTTTAAAACAGCGTATATGGACAAGGGGCTAAGGGCATAGTTCAGTCAACAGAATTCATGCCTGGCAGGCACTAAATCCTCAGTTCCATTCCATGCGCCATATAAGTGGACTATGATGGGATACACAGATCCTGTCTCTAAACGATAAAATGTATGCACTAAAATCTTGATACCTCTATACTCTGGCGGGTGACAATTTGTCTTTAACCCTTTCTGTAATGAGGGTTAAAGGCTGAGCAGAGGAAACCCCAGCCTCCAGATCAAGTGCTTGGGTTGAGAATGGAGAAACGATGAAGGAACGATGCCAAAGCCTTTGAGGCTTAAAAGGAATGAAAGCCTGGGTAGGTTTGTGTACTGGGAAGATGTTTTGCACGCTTAAAACTGAAAGCAAAAACAAGGACCCCTTATGGCATGTTTAATGAAGGGGGAAAAAATCAACTGTTAAAGAACATCTCAAACTGTGCCAAAATATTTCTTAATGTGCCCTGCTCCATGTGGGGTCAGTTTAGTTTTCCAGATTATCTACATCAGTGACTCTGCTCATCTGTTAGAGGAGATTGTTTTTTAAAAGATGGTAATTAAACTGAAAAGCATCTTTGTCATACCCCCTCCATCAAACACCAGTAGGCACCTGTGATGAGGGTGTCTCAGGTGTGTGTATCCTGCCAAGCCACCTGGGAACTGGGTTCAAGGGCAGATTCTTGAGGATGCCCCGCACGCCCCATCAGAAACCCCTGTGGTGAACAGAAACCTGCATTTGAACTAGCTTACCCTTGAGTGGGTTGAGCCTGCTCAAGTGTGAGAACCATGGGACGCTTGGTCGCAGTTGTGGCATCCACAACCACCTGACGCTCACCTGAACTGACACGGACTGAAAGGGACACAGGAGCTTTGTGCCTAGCCCTTCAGTGATGCTAAATGCAGCAGAGGCTCACCTTTCCCTTCAGTTTTGCAAGGGGCCCTTTTAGGGTCTCTCTTCTCATCAGTGCAGGACAAGGACCTTTCAAACTTAGGTGTCTTCTTCAGAACGGAGTTCTTCCTCATATTTTCCTTTTCCTCCAGCTTCAGTCTCAGGGCTGCTACCCTGGAGAGAATCTTCTTCTTTATCCCTGCAGCCAAGTGTCCACTCCCCGAAGCCTCTTGCTTCTTCTTTCCCTCCTCTGACCCAGCTATTGATGATTGGGCCCCAGGCACCTTGCTGATCTGATCCACCACAGGCCTCTGCTGTTCCTCTCTTGACTTTTTCCCACTATCCAGGGTGGAGCCCTTTTGACACAGGTCCCTCAGTAACAAGCTTTCAGGGTCTTTCTCTGACTCACATTCTCCTGAAATGAGAGCCAGAGTCATTGTTGGGGAGTCAGTTGAGTTTAGGGGTTTGGTTTCCGCAATTTGAAGCTCCTCTGATTTCAGTTCCTCCATGTCATGGCTTATTGACAAGCGTGTGACATTTCCTTTGGGAGACAAAGTACAAGGTGTGTCTGTGAGATCATTTGAAGAGGACACATGTTTCCCACACTTGTTCTCGATAGTTCCCTTTTCCTTCCTCATAGGAATTACACTTTGATGAGTTCTGGGCTTAGGTCCGCCATAATTGTGGCCTGTGGAGTTGTTGGTGTCAGCCTTGATAGATGTATGCATCATTCCTGTGAGACAGCTAGAAAGAAGAGACATGGGAGAGATGACCTCAGTCTCATCCTTTCCCCTTTGCCCAGCTTCTCCTAGGTTTCTGTCACCGCCATCTTGTGTTTGGTTCATGTTGCATACGCTTGGAATTCCTTGTCTCTCTTCACCAGGACCCTGGGCTTGCCAAATGACAGCTTCTGCTTCCGCTTTTGCTCCATTAGGCCGACTGGCTCTGGCATCTGCTCCCTCTCTGTCTACATGATTTTGGTGGGTTGTGTTTTCGTTTGGAATGATTTCGCCACTGTCTTGGGGATGTGGAACCTGTAGGTTAGCAGCTTGGCCATCTACCCTCTGACATGTGTCTCCAACAGTGGATCCATTTCCTTCTATGTTGGAGTCGGAGGGCTCTGGCTTCTCAGACCAGACACTCTCTGTCTCACCCCTGTCATCAATGGGGTCCACAGAGGATTCCAGGATCCTCGGGAAGCTCACAGACTGGTTAACAGAGGTGGGGTGATGCAGCTTCTGCTGGGTTTCCTCCTGTTCTTCATTCACTGTCTCAGCCATTTCTGTCTCTCCAGTTTTGGAAACCTCTAACAGAGAATCTGTGACATCTAACTCCTTTTCCTCAACAGGGTCTACGGATGACTCCAGGAGTTGGGGTTGGCGCAGACACTGGGAAGACAGACTGTTGTAGTATGTTTGTCTGTCTGGTGCAGCACCTACACAGGTGTCCCTGTTAGCTCCAAGGGCCATGAGAACATCAGCTTGGGAGCTGGGAACCCACTCTGCTATTCCCAAGGGGCCTGGCTCAGGCCTGGTGGCACCTTCTCTGAGGATGTCAGACAGAGCCCAGCTCCTACCAGGCACCATGAGACCAACTTCTGCCTCCTTGTACCCAGAATGTGTCACTAGTTCTTGTGGCCAGATTTCAAAGACAGGAGCTTCTAGAGTTATGATCTTCACTTTGCTGCCCACAGCCCAACTTGCTAGTCCAACGTCATCTTTCTCTCCAAGGAGGCTGTCAGGGAGAGATGGAACACTGCTTACCAAATGACTGTCTTCTCCCACACTCTTCTTCTCAGCTGCCACCGAGACACTGGTCCTCAGGTCTGAGCTACACTCAATTTCTTCCCTGGAATCTGCTAGGGAGTGCTCCAAGGGTTCCACATTGGCCTCCTGTTGCATGGCAGGTATGGAGGGCAAAATTTCTTGGAAATCATTTGCAGAAAGAGAACTCCGGTGGGTTGTGCTCTGTGGCCGGATGCATTGCTTCATTCCACTTCCCTTTTCCTGGAAGTCCTCTTCAAGGCCTCCGCTGTGGGCTCCCTCCACAGTCTGGCTCTTATACCCAGGCTGATTATCAATCTGAAGAGACCTGCTACACAAACCCTGTCCCTCAGGCAGTGAGAAGTAGCCATGAGCTTCTGCATTACTGAGTGCTGGGACTTGAGTCTCCCCAGTTGCTTCACCTGTGGAGCTACTTAACATACGACCTGACTCTGCATCGTTGGGAAGAGATTGGGAATTTTCAACTTGTGCCTCACAGGAGACCTGGTCAGCACCATCATCAAAGTCATTGTCCTGGGGAAAAGAAACGGTGTGGCATTTGATTTCATGGACTTCAGTGGCATCAGTTAATATGCCATCAGTCTCCCTGGTCTCCTGATAACAGTCAACATTAGCAGTTGATTCCGTTGACTGTTCTTTTGAGCACTCTCTGGCGGAACTGTAACTGGCAAGTGTGTCTATGTCAATCAGGATGCTGAGATTGGAACTTCCACAGCCTCCTTCACTATCCTTTATACAGGAGATATTCTCAGAACAAGGGGGCTGTGTCTCCCCAAACCCTCCTTCATTGTAGGATAGTGCGGAAGAGAAGATGGTAGGAGAATTCCCCACGTCAGCTGGTGTCTCGCCCACAGCATCTTCACTGGCCTCCTGTGACGTGTTCCAGGTGAAGGTACTGTTAAAAAGAGGGCCGTCGGCTGACTTCCCTTCCTTTCTGAGCTCGTATGTGGACGGTGAAGACTCAGAACCTTGTGTTTGTAGAACAGCCAGTATCTTGTCAGGAGAACATAAATCACATACTTCGCTTTGACCTTCTGTCAGCTCCAAGTCCTCGGGGCAAATTTCTTGAGGGAAATATTTATCAACTGGTGCTCCAATGGGGAGATCCATGGTAGCATAACATGTTTCTTGGTCACCAGCTTCAAAACACCCCATCACACATGCAGCTTTTCTGCCCCTTGACCCACTGCCCACATTCTCCAAGGGGAGGGAGGGAGCAGTGGGCTGGAAGAAAGCATCAGAGAGAGCCTCTGGCTCCCTGCAGTGGATACCATCACCCTGAGGGAGAGCCATTGAGGCTGGAGCCTGGGATACTTCTTCCTCATTATCTTGTAGGGGACTCAGTTCATGTGCTGATTCTGTCCAGAGAGCACCAGGCTTGTCACCTTCTCTGTTAGCTCTGGCTTCCTGCTGGGGGCTTTGAGGACAGCTTTCCAGCCCCAGGTATTGGGCCAGTGATGAATTTTCCCTGTTGATCTCACTCAAGTTGGAGACGGAATGTGTTGTGGCCCGGGTGAACGTAGACTCCTCCTCAGCAGACACGGAAAAGGCCAGCATCTGGTCGAGATCACTGCTCTCCCCAATGGTTTCCTGAATTTGCATCTAGAAAAAAAAATGAAAAGTGATATGAATAGAATTGTTCCTGGGAGAGTCACAATAGAACTTCTCTGCAGCCCCAGGAGTGCTAATCCTTGAGAATTTTAATAAGGGACAAAGACCATAGCTGAAATGACTGAAATCTGAACAGGAATCCCCAAACTCAACTCTGGCTATTAGACTTCCTGGGGAACTGTGAATTTAAATCACTCTGCATTCCAGGGGACTCATGGCTAATCTCATCATTATATGCAAAAAGCCTCCTGGCAATCCTCATGTATTTAATGATTTTTTTCCTCCTCTCTCCAAGGAAAAGAGATGGAAACAAATTGAATGGTAAATTTGTTTCTGAACAAGTCAATCCCAGCAAGACCTGCGGATAGCTGACTGTTACATTGTCATGACAAATGAATTCAATGTTGCTTACAAAGTGGCAAAGGGCAACTTTTGTCCTCCAAGTATTATAGCCTACTGGTTAATAATATCAGTAAAAGGCAGAGAGAAAGAGAGAGTCAGACTTTAAGTGTAGAATCCCTTCTTCCCCCCCAGAACTTCAGAAAACAAAGCTGGAAGAGAGCAGAGATAGGCCAGTCTTTCAAGCCTGTCTCCAATGGAGTAAGAGAAATTGGACTGGCCACCAGCACTCCCAATCATTTCTGACACAGAACAGAAAAAATTCTGGATTTTTCAATGAGACTCTGGGCCAAGAAGCCAGCTTCCCAAGAAGTAGGAGATGATTGTGCTGTTTGGAGGAAAAGAAGGGAAAAGAAAGGGAGGGGAGAAAGGAGGGAGGGGGACGGAGGGAGAAACCCTACAGTCTCCAAACTGAGCCCATCTCAGCACTGAATACTGGGTGATGTTGGGTAGTATTTAAAGAGAAAGAAAACTCCTTGACTGTCTTCTTGTCTCTTGAAACTTTTAGCCAACAGCTGTTTCAAAGCAAAACAAAATCATGTTCAGCCAAGAAGGTAATTCTTTGGTAAACCATGCCATCTTTGACCCCAGGACTCTCTCCCATAGAGCCCTACTCCAGTGCGCAGGGAACAGAGAGCTAAGGCGGCTGTTGTCGCTCTTCCAGCCTCTAACAAGATGGACCTGAACTGCACATTCCCATGGGAAGCTCCAGTCCAGAGGTTTATCTCCACAAATTCTGTATGAGAATAGATCTGCTACCTCAGGGTAGATTCCTGCTTCTACTGTCAGCAGGAAATAGGACCAAGGTCACCTACGACACTTTCATATACTCCAAGGATACTTGCTGCCCACCAGTCATTTCTCTGTCATCTTCTTTTAAGTGTCTCTCATGTCCACTGAACTTGGATTTCATTGGCATAGAAGTACAAACTAAATAAGAAGAAATTTAATATGAACTCCACATGGACGAAGACAATTTACTGATCCAATCAATAGTCACTGAGCTCCTCCAACACACTAAGAAGTGTTCCGGGCGAGGGAGATGTGACAGGCAAGGGCTTGTCTTTAGAAAGTGCCCATTTTATGTGTATGCAAGGTATAGAATAGTAATAAGCACACAGTAAGCATTTGATAAATATTTGTTGGAAGAGAGAGGAAATAAATGAAGCCTATTCCAGCTGAGGGTACTGTCACTGGAGGTCCCCTACAAAACCTCTAATTCTGCAAGAGCTTTGCTTTGAATGTAGGGACAGCCTTATTTTAAAGGCGACTTCTAACTACATTTTGAGGCCAGATTGAGCCACATGCTAGGCTATCACCGAGAGGGAGAAAGGCAGGCCAGGAGGCCCTAACCATGAGCATCATTTGTTCAAATACTGATGTTTCTAAAAAGAAAGCTATTCCTGCATCTGCCAGTTGTGATAATACAACTGGTAGGTAGGATAAACTGAAGGATGTATTTGCTCTTTTTTTTCTAAATCCTTTTATAAAAACCCATCATATTAAGATAGAAAATTAAAAACAACAAAAATAACTTGGAGGAAGTGAGGAACAAGGCCTTTCTAAAGTGTGCAAAAGTTTCACAACAGACGAAATACTTCTGAAATAGCTATGAGCAATCTTGGTCCTCCAACTCTGCTGGGATGGTTTCCTCCCCAAGCCTGAGTATCCACAGATCTATGGTGAGTATTCTTTTCACGTCCCCTTGATTCAGATTTTCATAACGAGCTATAGTGTAAACTACCAAGTTATTAAGCACAGCAAGTATGGCAGCTTCTGGCCAGGAACGAGAACTTTAGAGACTGTCCCAGTGAAAATACCACACCTTCGCTCCCAGGGCTCTATTCTACCTGAACTCCCATGACCCATATGCTCACCCACCCATGTCTCTTTCCACACATATCTCCCCAACTCATGTCCCTTTCCACCCATGTCCTTTCTCACCCACATCTCCTGATCCATCTTCCTCCATGTTCCTGACCTATGCCCCCCACCACCCATGGGCCACGTCCATACCCTACCCACGCCACACCCAACACCAGTCCTTTATGTTAAAGTCTTGCTATCATCACAGTATCATTAGCACCAAGGAACATTCTAGAAGTAGCTGCTGTGTGAAGAACTCATTGCTGAATACAGTTCAGGGGTTCAGGCACTTCCAGAGGACCCCAAGCTCAGTTCCCAGTTCCAATGTCAGATGGTTCACAATGGACCATAACTCCAGAGCCAAGGTATCAGACACCCTCTTCTGACCTCTGCAGGTACTCACACACATAGGGCATACACACATCATACACAGAGAGAGACACACACACAAACATACACACACACACACATGTACACACACACACATACTCACACACATACACACATTGGACATACATCATACATACACACATGTACACAGGTTTGAGTAAACACATATACATAAACAAAAATAAATCTTAGGTCTGGGGAGATGGCAATCAGCTAAGAGTGCTCGATGCTTGTACAGGACCCAGGTTCAGTTCCCAGCATCCATATCAGGTGGGTCACAGCCACCTGTAACTCTAGTTCCAGGGGATCTAACACCTTCTTCTGGCCTCTGCAAGTATTCGTACATACGTGATTCACATACATGTGAAAATAAGTAAGTTTATTTAAAAATTTTTTTTAATCTTACTTTAACGCCCCCACTCTAGCAAAGCACCATGTGCCCATGTACAATGACATAAGGCAAGACTTTGTGTCAATTCATCATTTGAGGAGCATGCAGTGGGCACCTACTGAACCCAGATGTTCTAAGAATTTAGAAAACCTTACTTAGTGGACACATAACATTTCTGGACTTCAGAAGTTAACTCCAGGCAGCAAACTCTATGACGAAATCTGATGTGAGGTCCTCTAAGGATTTCTTTCTTTTTTTTTTTTTTTTTTTTTTTTTTGGTTTTTCGAGACAGGGTTTCTCTGTATAGCCCTGGCTGTCCTGGAACTCACTCGGTAGACCAGGCTGGCCTCAAACTCAGAAATCCGCCTGCCTCTGCCTCCCAAGTCCTGGGATTAAAGGTGTGTACCACAACCGCCCGGGGAGGATTTCTCCACTCTTTGATGATAAGCATCTCAACAGAGCCATGGGCACCTTGAGCTGTGCAGACCTGTCATCCCTGCTGTGAAGGAGGCAGGAACTCACAAGGTTCTTCTCAGATTGGTATATATACATTATATATTTAAATATTTATATATGTAATACACATATTATATATAAATATATATCATTATTTCAATATAATTATTTTTATTAAATATTATTGTATTATATAAAATAAACTTTTTTTTAAATTTTATGTGCATTGGTGTTTTGTCTGCGTGTATGTCTGTGTGAAGGTGTTGGATCCCCTGGAACTGGAGTTATGGACAGCTGTGGACTGCCATCAGGGTGCTGGGAATTGAACACAAAGTCCTCTGGAAGAGCAGCAGCCAATACTCTTAGCCCCTGAGCCATCTCTCCAGCCCCTCAGAGTGGAACCTTAACATCTCACTCCCAGTGTCTTTGAAGGTTTATAGTATCAGCTCAGAGAGAAAGATAGGACCATCTCATTCAGAGGCTGGTTCTCCAAGAGGAAGACCAGAGGCTCACGCCTCCCAGTGGGTCAGACCTTTCCTAGTTGTGTCATGATGGAAGAGGATCAGCAAATGGCTATCTGCTGCTGCTGGCTGCACCATTATCGAGTGACACTCTGGGGTAGGGAGGGAGAGTTGTCATGTAGTAAACTTGTTCTCATTTGGGTGAAAATGAAGAGTGTTTATGGCCGTAGGAAGAAGCTCACCATCACTGTATTATGTAGACAGGATGCCTGGCAACCCGAGTTAGCCCTAGCTTAATCCACTATGCTGCGCAGATCCCCAGGCAACCACTGTAGCCACTCTGACCCACTGTCTCCTCCTCTAAGGCTAACCACATGCGCGTCAGCACCATCCTGTCAGTACATGGCAGGTTGCCCAATACCCAGAAGACACTGACATCAGTTTCCCTTGTTCTGAGTGAGAAAAAAAAAGAGCAGATGAAGCAGAGAGGAAACTGAACAGCCCTGGCGAATAGAGCCCTGGGACTTACGAAGGCCTCCTCAATTGGTCCAAAAATAAATGTGAAGCAGAGATGCTACTGCCTCTTTCAACTGGTGGGTGAACAGCCCAACTCCCAGCAGGAGATACAGCCATACAGTGGGCCCTGGAGGGGAAGTGTGATATAAAGGGTTCTTAGCTAGGATGGAAAACCACTGTGAGATGGAAGGAAACTTTCTGGTGTCCCAGTATGAAGGAAGTGAGAGAGGGCAAGCCTGGATGGGATTCAGGCCAAGGTGAAGATGGTCGGCCGTCAGATAACACAGAAGTTCATTGGATTAGTCAGGCCAGAGCTGCAGTGGAATTGCTGGCCAACAAACAAAAATGTCCTTCCAAGTTCAGGCAGGGACCAGGGATCACTGGAGTCCTAGCACTGGTGAGATGGAGACTGAGGCCTCAGACTGGGCAGAGCCATGTGTGGCAGGTGGGAAATCTTCAGAAATCTCCTTGTATACACTAGCCTATACATATAGGATACATATACATATGCA